TTAAAAAAACATAACAATGCTATTAATTTCAGATCGGATACCGACAATCTTAGCTCAGTATATCATACATTAATTGAAATAAACATAGAATATTAACTAACACCCGGTATATTGAAGAATTTTGCAAACCAAAAATAATATTCTCAGATTTCAAAGTAAAATAGCTGAAAGTAAAAGAAATCAATATAAACAATATTTTATTCGCTTTGTGTCCAAAATTAATACGCCAAACTTATGCCAAGGCTTAAAGCAGCAACAACGCTACACATGTAAGTAAAAATATTTAAGTATTTGAACAAAGAATTCTAGTCTATTCCCAAATTTGATTGTCCTGACTAATCACCTGTTAGGCCTAATTAATTTTAGAATGTTTTAAAGTGTTGCAATTGTGATGCATTTTAATGTGTGATACACTGAGGCTGTTGATGAACTGTGAATTTTTTTTTTAATTAATGAAATTTTTTTTTTATCTATGTTACTTTAGAAAAACTGATGATGGTGGAAAAATACACCGAAACGTATTTTAATTGATAAATAAAGACAATAAATGACTGAAACCCAGGAATTAATTTTGATTTATTTTAATAGTTAATACTTTCCACAGACTGAGATTTGTGTCTTATATTGTAATAAACTAGATATGCAGGAAATATGAATTGCTCTTAAAAGTTTTTATGGGTTTTTGTACTGTTTAGTAATGATTGTTTGTTTAATGGGGATTTCTGGACAACAAACTGAAACTTTTATCAAAATTAGACATACAGCTTCAATTTTTTAAATAATGATAAAATAGGCTGACAACATAAATTCACGCAAACGGCTCAAAATAAGTTTCAGCACCACGTAAATTTTCGTGTCTTGTTCAAGTGTTTCATCTTAAAACGGACAGTAATTTTCACTTTGAGGTCTAACTACAAAGTATGAGGTTTTTAATTGCAAAACAAAAATAAATGTTCAGAATTTATTGCAACATTCCATTCAAAAACAAGTATGTTTATAGTGAGTCGAAAATGAGGGGCAAATCTACTGTGGTTTTCGGCAGTTTCATTTTCAACCAAATTGTACATTTAATAAAAATATCATAAGTGGATGTTCCTCCGCGTATGTCATTGGTATGCACTTTTCATAATAGCTGACCTTGTATTGTCATGTTCCTGTTTAAGAATTCATTTTTAATATTAACTTAACACGGCTCTATATTTTTCGTCAACCTTTTAACATGAGAAATGAATTAAGACCAGGAAAATGTTCTTGCCATGTAACACACTATGTCAATCAAACATTTTCCGAGCGCTGAAATAGTTGAATGTTCTAAGAAATATATTTTTATACAACATAAAATATGCATATTAAGACACACTGTTCTACTATAAAAAGTTAATGTCTAGGGATCTGGAAATTTCATTCAATAATAACATACATCGAAGCGTTTTTGAAGTAATGTTTTTTTGTGTAATTTTAGTAACTCGGGGGGTAAATAATTGGATATAAAATTAGTCTGCATACCATAAATGAATGTATACTTAAACATAATTTAACAGAATCATTTTCAAACTTCCTTCAGCAATGTGATTAACTTGCCAAAACAGTGCAACTTACAAACTAAACCCGTTGGGTTTGAATTGGCTTCAGATAAATAGATATTTTACTCACACCGGTAGAGAGTTCATCACTTTTCCATATATTTCCCATTCATGGTCTACTCAAAGGTGTGCCACAACAGTAACCGTAAACTAAATAAATTTACTTGAATAAATATCTCAAACGCTATTGCCAACACACACATTTCAACTACCTGAGTTTGATTAGCAATCTGTATAATTTAATATTAAATCGCAAATTATTCAACATTTTACAAGTTTGTGGAAATATCACAGATGACGCATGGGCATTAACATAATTATTATGAATCTAAGGCGTATAAGAAGTAAATATATCAAAATGAAACAAAACTATACTAAATTTTATAGGTGTCGAAAATAATAGATGAAACCATTTTAAACGGATTTATTTAATGTAAATCAATTCTGTGACTGAGCTGAAAGATTAAATGCTAAACGTATTCATGACAATACTTTTATACACAACAGATGGTTTCTGTAGCCAGCAGATATTATCCGCTTTCGGAAGAAAAACGAGCTGAGAACAACTTTTACTTCCATTCTTCGTTTCCTCGATTTATAACAGCTGCTGTCACGATTGTTCTCGTCGACTTTGGGAACAAAATCACTAAGACTGTTAAGATAATGCACAAAGTTTCGGTTTTAGTGATAATAGAGGATAAATTGTTCAGTATCGCACTGTCATGTTAATTGTGTGACAAAAGAGTGTCTGATTTTTCACGATTTCGCCCACTTTGGTATAGGATTTGCTTCGTAAATTAATTATGAGTGATATTATTTCTGCATCTGTAAAGTAGTGTTAATAATATTAAAACAATTGTATGAAAATCTTTAAAACATATATTTTACACCTTCTTTCAACACGTTTTTATTTGACACGACCAAATTCCAAACAGTCTCTAAATAGTACATTTCATATCCACAACACGTTTTATCAGTATTTAACTAGCCATCGTTCAAACTATACGATTGTTTCAACTCTCGACAGGCAGAATAAACAAACTCATAATAATAAGATGCTCAAACAACACAATTTTCTTTACACGGAAGTCAATTACGTATTCGTAAACATTTGCTTCCCCTTTATTTGAGTACCTCTACTATCAATGTTGTCGCTTTCGGCAAAATCTGCAAATATACAGTGAACGATCTGTAGAAGCACCGAAATTCTGAAAAAGTACATCTAAAGGCATTTGGAGGAAAGCTGTGATTGCATTACTTGGTTGGATCTGCATGGATTGGAATTATCCTTGGTTTTGTTTTTTTTTTCGCATGAATCATGCTGATTTGAGTTAGTTTAGGGGTAATTTTGGTTGGGAAGCGCTTGAAGCAAAAGGCGTCTTGATAGCTTGCGACCGCAGGCGATACATAAATGTTTTCAATCGACTTTTATGATGTAAATAGGATCGTTTTTGTGAACAAATTTAGGTAAATTAATTTTCAATTATGTAGCTTTCAACGGAAAACGGCTTGTGAGAGTTTGCGCCGTGACACTCAGTCATCCATGAACAGCCCGAAGAGCAAAAAATTAAGTTAAATTATGATTGAAATATAAAGAGGTGAATATAAATAGCGTCATGTTTTAGAAGCAAAACCCTTTTTATTTGTGCAGTAAAAGAATATATACCTATTTTAATTTCTCTTGAGTATGGGAATGAGTTGATCTAGCAAGACCGAGAAATTTTCAAAACGTGTACTCATATCGGAGACAGGACGGTAACTCAACATATTGTTTCAGTTTTTCAGTTTTTCTTAAATGTGTTTCAGTGACAAAACAGACGTAGCGTACGAAAAAATATTTGGACCAATTAAGTTACTTAAATTTTTGCTCATAGATCAATAGAATTATAAATTTTAATTTTGTAAAATGTATATGCATAATTGGCAAATGAATCTACAAATTTATCAAAACAATATTTTCGCAAAGAACAAAGTTTCAGTTAACCGGGGCAGATGAAGGCTACCTACCAATATTGGCCGAAATAAAACTGTAGACGACGATAATTAATTACTGATAAAGATAAAATTATGTCTACTTTATCATGGATCATGGATGTGATAGGATAGTTCTAATACCGCCATTTTAAAGACTCTTAAGAGAAACTTTAGCCCTAAGGATTTCTAACCTTTTAAGAACGTCGATTTTCCTATATTGACCACCAAAGGTTAAACGAAACTTTAGTTTCACTATCAAGCGGTGTCTAATTTTTTTCTCTAATTCGCAAACATCTTATTTGCAGGTTTTGAAAGATGTTATATTAATATTATAACAGAATCAGAATTTTTTCATTCAATTATTAATTGAATGCTGATTGCTGTCTCGTTCTACTTAGCTGACTGTTTCAGCATATTACTTCCGACAAAAAAATGTTTTTTTCTGTTTTGAAGAAATGTAAATCTTAATATATGTTCTCAAAACATTGGCATTGGGTAAACAATGGCTAAAATGATACATTGTACATTGTTCACTAAAGGAGCTATTAAATGTATCAACATTCCCTGCCCGTATGATATTATCGACATTTTATCAAACACGCACTAAAGTCACAAGATTCTTAGATAAAAATTAAATGGCCACTAAACTGGCAACAAGCAGCTTGAAGTAATCCATCAATGGCTCAACCACCCTTCTCGAAAGTCATTATCGCTCTACTGCGACTCTTTCGATTCGTATTCACACACCACCGCTGGACTATATTTGAAACAATCGAGGCTTAATTTCCTGCTCAAGAGCTTTCGGGCTATTTTCTTTGCCTGCTACTCGGAACAAACAGAAAAGGCGCACATAAAGGCAGTAGAGGATCGAAAGTCCAAAAGGCTACATTTAATATTTGATTTAATAAAAGACTCATTGAAGCCAACGGTTGCTTCATTATGAGGGCCTGAACGACTAATTATATAGTTCAGACAGGGCAATTTTGAAATCTTATCGCAACTGTTAAAGGGAACAAAATTCTTATCAAGTTCATGCCTGTGCGTTGTGGAATTGCTGAACTGAGCAACCTGTTTAACATTATACATAACAAAAAGCAGTAGGCATTTAAAATCAATCTTTTTCGGCAAATTGTTTGTAAGTATGTGTTTAAAATGTTAAGCGGCAGACTGGAATTATTTAGTATTGAATTTTTATGTTGTACGTACTTAATCACGTTAAAAGTTGACTCCCTCTTCGATAATATTTCGAGTGATAAATTAGTACTTGATAATTTTTCTTAAAACAATCGTCTTAAAAGTCCTTCAAAATATGATAAAAATCAAACGTTTTTCTCTTTTAGCAGGTTAGGACAGTTTCATTTGCATTCCGCATTAGTCAACTATCTACTTTGAAGAAAGAACTATCGATAATATTCGTATTCTAGGTAAAAAATAAAATCCTTATCGAATTTATCAGAAACTTTATTTATAAAACATTCAATGGTAAAATACATCTAGACAACGACGCTCGCTTGGCTTAAAGTTTTACATTTGGTCAGGGCGCAATCAGAATTATTATTAACAGGGTTTTGTTCATTAGTGATAATAAACGTATCTTCCATCAACCTATTATCATTTTCTTCTTTAGGTGAATTCAGGATAGTGGTTAGTTCCGTGCTAGGATTTGTGAAAAAGTTGTTTTCCTGCTCCTCTTCCAATGGAGAATTCAATTTGGCCTCACTTCCAACTGAATTGACTGAAACAACAAATACTTGGCAGCGACGAAAAATACTAGCTTCTAGTTCAAAATTTTCAATCAGAAATAAATATTTTCAAGAACAAATGCCCTCCTAATTTGGACAACTTTGAAAGAAAGTGAACATGATTAATTGATTAAAATTGATTTTAATTAATGATTTAATTAAAATATTGTAGGACCAGAATTAATACAATTTAATTTATTTCTTCGAAAATTGTGCGTTATTTGATGGAAACTGAAGAAATCATTTTTGTATGATATACAGTTAGAAGATAGAGATGATGTACCTGAAAGAAACGAGTTTCTTCTCAGTCTAGCTTGATTCTCAATGATGCTAACCAGAACTTCCGTGGAACTTCCAATTGCTATGGCTGATACAGTCGCTAAATTAATTTCATTTTCTTTAACGTTTTCAAGGGGATATATTCGATTTGAAAAAGATCGCTTTCTGGGTGGGCTGCTTTCTTGCGGCGCCATCAAAGCAGCTACTTCTCTTGGCTCTGAAGTAGTTTCTCTGTAGAATCCTGAAAACAATATTGTAGTTAAGTTGAAAGTTAACGTTAAGTTGGACCTTAGAACAGCTGCTTTCCAAAGTAAATTACCTGGAAGATATTTTGGCTGCAATGGTAATGTTTCTACACTGCCACCTGTTGATGATTGTGAGCGTAGTGGAGTTATTGCCATGCTAGGAGATCCACTGGAAGGTATTGCTGGTAGAATGACTGAAACAAGTTTTATAAAATTATTACACTACAATAATGCCAAGGTGTTTGAAGGTTGTTTTATATTATTATAAGATATGAAATATATAAAAATAAGATCATTAATATTATTTAGAAGCTAAGTGTCTAAACAATTCAGAAAAAGTTGATACTTTATATCAACTTTTTCCCTCTTTTACTCTTTAAGCTCTTGCGTTGTAAATTTACTAATTTTAATTTGTAATGCATATTTCATTTTTCTTGACTTGTTATAATTCAGTTTTCGATTAATTTCAGGTGAGTCAAAGATGAATGAATTCTACCTAGAGAGGCAACAGAACTTAAGAGCTTACAACAGAACGACTGAAGTAAGTGAATGTACAAATGTAAATTCACCCGCATAATTTGGAAGTAGTAATCCTAGAAATCAACGGCTAAGTAGCGTTTTTTATGAAATTTGGATGGTTTGGGTTTTCAATTGTTTAAAATATTTTTATACATATTCAGCTGTGATTAATAATCCCTGTTTTAGACTTTTGCTTTCGCCAGTGTCTTTTATTCAACTAAAACGCCTTAAAAAATTATGGAACGGAAACCATCAGTATCCATTATTTCTCAAAAAAGACAGACGCGTTCCGATTTCTCATGCCGTAGGTTTTCCCTTTCGCCTTGTTCTAGTCAAGATAAACGAAATGTTTATGTTAAATCAATGAAAGCCTACGTGGGGCCCCAAACACTTCCAAATCATCAAACAGTGGTGTTTGGACGGCTTTGAGATGTTGATTATGGAAAAGTGACTTGTGACGAACCGAATAAAAATTCTGAATGGTTGATTTATACAAAGATGCAACCTCCTAGTTACACAAAACAATTGGAAATTAATGGGAGATTATTAAAGTTCATACAGCTTTTTTTGTTTGTCTATATAACTAACTTTACGTAGTTTATGTAGCTCAAGTAAAACTGATCCCGGAAAATGTAAGCTTCATCAAATACATATCGAAACGCTCCGTTTACTCGATGTACGAGTATCACTTAATTTTACATTGTCGTTTGAGTCATTGTTCTGCTGCAGCTTGTTTTGGACGTTATCTCCGTTATCAGGAGAAGCTCAAATGTACTGAACGTACTCAAGCAAGTGAAGTGTTGTTGCCAGGTATCTGCTATCCATACAATTTTATTAGTGTTTAATCTGCAGTACGAAGTACAATTATGGAGTAATTTGATGACGTTTTTTCGGGTCTTTCTAAACTTTTATCAATTATTTCTATATTATTTCTATATACTATTTCTACATTTCTTTTGGCTGAGACCATGTTTACTTTCAGATGTGGTTCTCTCCTTAGGCTTTTGCAGAGTTATTTCGGGTTGTTGTCGGTTTAGGATTATGCAGCTGTTAAATTGATCTGTATTTGCCAGAGCAACATTTCTGTTTTAGATTTTTTGAGCTTAATTCTTCAATATTACTAGTCCCCATGAAAAATTGCACTAAAGCATAAAGCTGTAAAAGAAAAAGGTGTTATAATAGCTGCTAGTCTATTCTCAGGTGAAAATAATTTCCGTTCCATTTTGCAAAAATTTACAAAACGAATAAAAATCGCCCTAGTATAGTATGTATGAAAACACATTTAGGAAGCTGTCGTAGACAAAGCTTCTATAGGGCATTGTTAAAAAGGTTGTCAAATGCGAAACCCCATTAACCAACAGTTTTCAATTTCCTCCTATTACTATATTTTTCTGCTTCAAATAGTTTGACCTCCGTCAGGCCAATACGCCAAAATCAAAATCGATCGTCCACGGGAACGCATAAAAAGAGATTTAAAACCCCATTAGCCCTAAAACGCCGCAGGATTTGCAAGTCAAGATACTCTAATCACTCCTGTGCTTCGCAAATATCTCTAAAATCGATCTTTGATCCTTTTTGCAAGTAAAGTGACATTTATGAACGTTTTACTATGGACGTTTACTGTGCTCATTCCTCATGAGAATAAAGGCCTAAAAATCAGTGAAATGTTAATTAAGTTTACACAACGTATGAATATTCCATCTCCCTAGTGCATTTCAGTTAAGGTTTCATGCCTTCAGCTTTATGAACCATTCAAAGCTGCTTATACTCCCTTTTTGTTTACGGTATGAGAGCCTGCCTTTTAAAGCCTACCGTAACTGTTTATTTTGTTTAAAATTCGAAAAAATCAACTTTTTGAATTTGAGTTTTATGAAAAAAAATTAATTATATCGGTGGAACATATGTGTATACAGAAAAGAAAATGTAACTTGTTATTGATGAGATACCGGTTTTTTCAATTCCTCTAATTTGCAATTAATGGTACAACAAAATCGCTTTTCTACAAAAATTTTAAGTTACGATTATCCCTTACCTTGTGGATTTTGAAAATTAAATGGATTGTTATGTGGTAACACCGCAATGCTGGGAATAGAGGGTCCTTCTAGTGCCAAGTTAATCACAGGAATTCCATTTGCATTGCCTAGAATAAAGGAATCTAGAATTCAGCCTACATTTCCAGAATTGTTGGTCTTATAGAAGAGAAGATTTCGGGTAGTTATAACCGTGTATTTAATTAATCATCTTCTTTTACAGAAACTGTTCAATAAAGACGGGCGGAACGTCATCATGCCTTTCAAAAGTTCTTGCGTTGGTCAAACAGGTCATTAAACCTGCTTTTGGGCCAATCAGGCATTTCAGTTTTCAAGTTTTCAAGAAGCAATTCATATGTTTTGTTTTTACTTTTATACGGCTTGTAATTGGATTATTACTTTTCCCTCTTTGTTTTTAATTTTTATTCTCATATTACCTCAAGTAACCGATTCCAATTTTAAAAGGTGGCGTTATCTCTGATTTAAAACTTGAATCTACAGCGGCTCGACAAATAAAATCGATGTGGAAATACAAGCGGGAAATTAACAAAAACCTTGCGCGGATTTCCCAATTATTTCGTAGTACACCAAAAGGGGGCGCAGTTAATACGAAAGTAAATTTAGAAATTTTTTTCCTTGCATACTAATGATAATTAGTGGGCGGCTAACCATAGTTTGTGTTTTTGTTCTTTGCATATAATTAAATAGTTGAGAAAGTAACATCTGGTTTGCCAGTTTATTAAAATTAGCTATTAGTATTCACGTGGTTCTACTGATCTAGTTCTAATAAATTTGGCGCAAATTACACACAGTTTGAGATAATTACCAATTTTTGTTCCAAACGCATCTTTCATAATGGCAGGATGGTGATGTTTGATAGCATTTACTCGACGATTTCCTATACCATCTGGCTTGTTCTTTCGTCTGGGCTGTTCAACAGGCAAAACTCTTCGCCTCCGCTTGGGAAGTTTTGCTCGCGCCTAAAAGCAAAACTAAAACTCAGAATAACTTAAGTTTAGGTGGTAACAAAACCAATAGCAAGCTATTAAGTAAGAAAAATATATATGAAGAAGATTTATAACTTTTTGGTAAATAAAGAAGCTTCCATTAAGTGGGAAACGTTGTTAAAAACCGTTTTAAACCGCAAAAAGGCGGTTTAAAATTTCTTTGACTTATATACAGAGACTTACAACGTTTGTAGAGGGACAATAGTAATTGTTAAATACCAGAACAACCATAATCACTTTGTCTACTAAATAATTGTGTCTGCTTACAGTCAAAACAGTACGATGTCTAAATTGTATTTATTTTAATTGTTTTTTTCTGATCTGAACTTTACCTGCGTGTGAGAATAAAACATGGAGAAATTTGAAACTATCACAGGCACCGGCAGCGCAATGGTAAGGACGCCTGCTAAAGCGCATAAAGCCCCTACAAACATTCCTGCATATGTTTTCGGGGCCATGTCGCCATATCCCACTGTAGTCATTGTCACAATTGCCCACCATAAGCCTTCTGGTATACTCTTGAAATTATTTTTTTCATTATCCTGCAAAAAACTTAATCGTTAGATAACAGGGTATTTTAATGTTAGCGTATAGGCTGATGATAAGACAAACTACCATAATACTGGAAAGTTTCAATTGATTAAATATTAAATGCATATAAGGGTCTGCAGAAAAGTGAGACTTAAGAATAACTCTATAAAACTAAGTATTACAAGAAAGTTATTAAAATTACGGGTCTTTTATAAGGAAAATACTTACTTTTTACTTTTGAAAAATATTGCTGGTAATAGTAAAAATTATGTTTTAGATTGATTGATTTTTGCGCACTTACACACGTACTGAGCAAAACTCAAACAGAGCAAGTGAATACATTTGACTTTCTAACGTAAACTGATATAGAAGATAATTCGAAAAAATTTGAATATAAAATGAAACTAGAAGTTGTTGCCTTTAAGTTAGTAAGAGAGACTCACCTGCGTCTTTTCTGCATAATATACAAGACTGGCAAAGAAAACTATTCCTAAAATCAGAAAAAACACCAAAAGAGCTAGTTCCTTTGCTGATGCCTTAAATGTATGGATAAGGATTTTTAATCCCGGTGAATGTCTGAAAACGAAATTATCTCAATTAACTATCAAATAATTACTTATATTTCCTGCGGTATTTTCCATTGTGGTATATTTTTTGTTTATTCTCGCATTGGGCGTTGTTTTCCAATCAAATTGATATCCGATTTTCAATTTAAATAACGGTTAGGACCAAAGTGGCTGTTTATATAAATATTATTTAATACAGAAAAAGTTTACGTATATACAGTTTATTAGTAGTGGCTCTCTACTAAAGCTTCGCCAAGAGTGAGTAGATCACAGTCGGTTTAATCAAGGAGAAAACATGAATATTGAAGCCAAAATCAAATTTGATTGAAATGTTTCACTTAAAACGTCTTTTTTCAACTTCTGCAGCTGACTAGAAAGCTGTTACTTTAGTTTATTATTTGGAAACATCTTGTACATTTCGTGTTCACCTTGCTGATATAAATATATCTAATATGTAAACATATGTCTCGCCAGATAATCAGTAAATCTCATTTAACCCCATGATATAGGAGCTCAGAGTTCAGGGAACTCCGCATGGGCGTAGAAATAGGTTTATAATCATCCCATTTTACGGAAATACCCCACAATCATTTCGTTGTCTCTGATATTCAAGTATTTATTATTCGCACAATTAAAAATATATATTAGAATTAAATTCGTCAATTCGAATTTCGAACCATATATTGCAATATTGATATAACAGTAATTAAAATGCATAATGTTTGAAATCTAATTGAAATTTTAATAGTTTATGAGCTTCTCTATTATTCGTGAAATTTTGCCAATTTAGCTTAAATATCCAATGTGTGCCAGTGTGCCAATTAGTGCGGCAGGAATAGTAGCACAAAGCTTTACGTAATTTTGTAGCCCCTTTTCGGGACTAAGGGATAACTTGGACTATTCGTGGTTCACAAACAACACCCACGGACAAATACATTAATAGTGCATAAACTGCCCGAATGAGTTATGAATAGACTAAAACACAAGTTGTACTTGCAACTGTATTAGCAAAACATACCAATATATTTCTGTTATATACGTTTTAAAAATGTGGCAAAACCTAATCCAAATTTGCGATCAGCTCTTTCCTTCTGTATTAAAAAATCTGATTAGTAAATATTTTCACTAATCATGATCGATTGCCCTGCTCATGAAATTCAGCAACATTTTTAAACATTTTATTGTGGGTTGCACTCCAGATATTCGCTATTAATATTTTGTTTGATTTTTCAGCTAATCCATTTTCGAAAAAAATAGCCGCTTTTTACTTTTTTTTTCACTTAATTCGCATGAAAATGTACGTGCTTATAAGAGTTTCAACAATCTTATGTTGCACGCTGAAACAACAAATGTATCATGGAAATATAAAGTTATTTAAGGTAATTTATTCGTGTCTAAAAATTGTTAATACTCAAAACAGAGTCTTCGATGTAAAACTTATTAATTTACTTATTTATTTTGTTATAAGAACTCATGTCCGGAACCGTTTCCATAAGGCCCTAAGCATCTTTAAAACTTCGAAATAAATTTACTTTCGAGGGCGTTCCTTGAAATTGGTGGGTTTTTAGGCCGTTGTAAAATGTTTTATCTACAACTGTTACATAATGACTATGATTTGGTACTCTTTCAAATGTCTTAATGATGTTTATTGGCGAACTAGTGCGGTAATAAACCTGTCGTTTATTGTCAAATTTGTGTCTTAAAATTGCACATTTTAAAATAAGTTTCAGCGATGATCTGCCATCTGATATTGCTGAATCACAAGCTCTGAAACAACATTAAAAACTTCGTTTTCAATATCACATAGCAGATCATCGCTTGAACTAATTATAAAACTAATTATAACATTTCCAATTATCTGATTACCCGACTCGACCTATAGCCTCGTCGTGTAAATCTTCACATGCGTGCGTTAATAATATTCATATCCTACTGGTTTAGTAAATAACTATTAGGAGGACCTAAAAACCCCAAAAACCGACTAGTTTTATCTTCAGAACTGTTATTAGAAAAAATGTGTTTGTTTGAGTTTTAATACATCTCGTTTTAATTTCTTTATCTCCAATAACTCTTATCGTCATTGTTCAGAATGCCGTCTATGTTCAAACGACATATGTTGTAAGAGCGGTTACGTTTTCAACATTTTAGAATAATTATTGATTAGGTACCTTATTAGTTATTAAGAAAATTCTGAAACTGCCTTTCTGTAAGCGAGCACAGCACGTAAACTTACCTTGTTAGTTTAAAAAGTCTCAAAATCCTAATTATGCTGAAAAAATCCAACAATTGACTTTTTTTCTCGAATATCAGGATCATGTCGATATAAAAGCTGAGTGTGGCGGCAAAATCAATTACGTTTACTGGGGATTTGATGAATTCGATTACGTTCGGAGAAACCTAAAACAAGTTTATAAAAAATCTGCAAGAACAACGTCTACATTCATAATTTAGTTTAACGCGAAAAGTAGATTGAAGCAAGGCATGGTGAAATAGAAATTGGACGTTATTGCATTAGTTAAACAGAACAGCATAACTGTTTCAAATTCAAACTTTTCCAAGTTCATTTAGAAGCCCAAGGCTTCAATTCGGTATATTATATTTCACAAACAGGCCCCTATAAAGATCGTGTTACAGTTAAAGAAGTTCTAAGCCCTTCCAGCCAACGGCTATTAAGTGACATATTTTTTAAAGTTTTATTTATAGGGCAGTTGTACAAAATATTATGCTGCAATGGAATATGGTGGGATATGATGGAACCAGTATAGTATTTGACAAAAAGTAAAAACAATAGTCTGATGGGGAAGAAAATCTCTTATAATCTGTCTGTGTTGGAATGCCCTTAAGTACTTACCTGTTCCTGTTTTTGGTAATTATCGTACTTAAAAACTTGTTAGAAAATTGGACTTAAATTAATTTTTCCGCATAATAACTTGATAAAATTACACTTTTACTATAATGGGTTCGTATAAATACATTTCTGAACTCTTCTTCAAATTTAATTTTTTTACCGAATTTAATTTCATACTCTTTCATTTTCTTCATAGAATGTACGCACATTAATTAATATGCAAGCTGTTGTTAAAAATTTGAAATTAGCGCGGTACAATAATTTGGATAATATAAACCCAAAAGTGGTAAAAAGCCACAAAGGTTGGATCTACATTGGAAGAGCTTCACATTTAAAATGCATCAAAGTTGAAAATAAAGGTCTGTTAATACAAGTTAAAATCCTAACGCACTTAAATACTTACAATTAGTCGTACTGATAATTCAAACGTAAACCAGGCATTGCAAAAATGGTCTACGGTAAGGAAATATGGATGCGGTTCGGTGCAGTTTGGTTCCTTATTGTTTTCGCATTTCACTCGCATTTCCGAATGGGTTTTCAAACAAAAAGAGAAAACGGAAGCGCAAATAAAGAATACCGATGCCCCAGCGACTATCTGAAAAAGAAAATGTTTGATTTTCAATAAAAGGTAATGGGAATTCGATGATGAATCTTTTCCGTGCAATGAAAAAAACGGGATATAAATAATGTATTAGAGCCAAGCTAGATGTGGAATTAATTACGTAGAAATATTATTTCACGTGCTTAATAATTTAATCAAACAACTAAAACTAGATGTTATTTGCTTTTATTTAATGTTTCAAGTTTAAATTCTACGCGGCTTCTTGTGCTAATTTCTACTAATCCTAATTTAACTGTCAAGACTTTACTTTTTAAAAATATTACGATTACCATTAGACCCAAAAAGGCACTTACTTACACATAAAAAAGTTCGTTATTATTGAGTAACTGACAATTTTTGTCAATTTTGGCTTATTTCTTTTACAACAATAATTGCTACTTTATCATCTAGAAATGATCGCCCAATAACTCTAAACAGCATTTTTAAATGGTGCTTAAGCAGCATAACTCGATAATTTTTACGACGTAATTTTTACGGGTTTTCTAATTGCCTATAAAGAGAAAATATTACAGCTTAGAAATTTTGCTTGGCTTTTAAGTTGAGAAGTGCTGTTAACTAGGAAGTTGGGATGTTTATCAGGTACGAAGTGAGCCGTCAGGAAATATCCGTATATTTATCGAGCGACATAATTAGAGAGAAATTCTGTGAATGACACTACATTTCTATGTGTCCATTTCTGCGCCTTTCTGCTGCTTTGTAAGGAGTCATCAATTTTTTCGGTAGCAAAAAATCTGTTGATCTTCTTCAGTTCAATCGTTCTTACATCAATTGAATATAAAGTTGTTTTCGCCGACTTTCTCAAGGTTTTTCCTTGATAATGCGCTTTTCTACCATTTGGCGACATTGCCTCTTTCCCTACAAGTTCATTTTAGTTTTATTGGATTATTTATGTCTGTACTTTCATTCGATAACCCAACCCATTGATTCGTCTGTCCATTTATTAACATCTTGGTTCTGCTTTATAACATCTTGATTCTGCTGATTATAAATTTTAATTAAGTTTCGCTTTTTATATTAGACAACCAGCATGGTAATACGTACGATTCTATATTGATGTTTTTAATAAAAAAGAACCTTATAGATTTGCGTTTCACAGCTTTTTCACGAACTTTCACTTAAAAATTCAAATTTTCATAATCATGAATTTCACTCGAATGCATTATTACCCATTTCCTTTGTTGGCAACGTTCAAATCAATGCCCCACTGACATTAATATTCCATTTCCATCCTCACTTGCCAATGACTTCCGAAATTACCAAAGTCATCGAAGTTCTATAATTTGGCTTGTCGCGGATTATTATAACTTGAAACGCGAATTACTGATTAAGACGTCTTTTCAATGACCAACTTTCAATTGAGTTCAATTACTTGGTGGCGTGCTTCATTAGCAAAGTGCATTTTGCTAAGCTTCCTTATAGACATGAAAACTGCAGTTACCGGTAGAAATTAATAAAATTAATACCTTCAATTGCTTTTTTGAAGTAAATTTCTTACAACTTTAACTGTTCTATTGGATTATTTTTTATTCAAGTTTAATCTGCTTGCTTCGTTTTATATTTGATATATTACGGAAAAGCATGTGTGCACTTGATTGTGCAATTATATTTTTTGTGTTCAGCCGTGTAAAATAGAAGGTGTCTAAAATCAACTAAAAGCTCTCGGGCTTGAGATACTTTTTCGTGTATATTTTTTAAATCAAATGAACACAGTGTTTATAATATTTTGCAATTACTGGAAAAATAAATTTATTAAATGGCTTTGTACCTTGCAAAATCTCTCATAACAGGATAAAGTATGTTGGTAGCAAAACACGCTATACTTGTACTGAAAAACAAACCCAGCCTGGTGACCAAATCATCGATTTGTGGAAGGAAAGCTGTTTAATTGAGTATCTTTAGCAGACCCTGAAAAAACTCGTCCACTATCAGAAACTCGTGTTTCCAACAAATACATTTTCAAAATCTCCTTAACAAGCAATTGCTTTTTTGAAGTAAATTTCTTACAACCTTAACTGTTTTATTTGATTATATTTTATTCAAGTTTTAATCTGCTTGCTTCGTTTTATATTTGATATTTTACGGAAAACCATGTGTGCACTTGATTGTGCCGTTATATTTTTTGTGTTCAGCCGTGTAAAATAGAAGGTGTCTAAAATCAACTAAAAGCTCTCGGGCTTGAGACGCTTTTTCGTGTATATTTTTTAAATCAAATTAAAACAGTGTGTCTAATATTTTACAATTACTGGAAAAATAAATTTATTAAATGACTGTACCTTGCAAAATCTCTCATAATAGGATAAAGTATGTTGGTATCAAAACACGCTATACTTGTACTGAAAAACAAACCCAGCCTGGTGACCAAAACATCGATTTGTGGAAGGAAAGCTGTTTAATTGAGCATCTTTAGCAGACCTTGAAAAAACTCGTCCACTATCAGAAACTCGTGTTTCCGACAAATACATTTTCAAAATTTCAATCTCAACAAGCAAGTTAAAATGTTCATCTGACGATAAATGAAAATATACAACACACTTTTATACGAAACGGGCGTGCGCTTATACAAATATTTGATGACTGCTCCTAGACCTCCTTCGTTTCTTTTAAAAATAATATTTTGTATATGCTTTGCCACAATGTCAGGAACTGATTTTGAAACACTATTATTAAACTTCGAGTGCAGTGCAAATTGACAAAACGTTAACAAAAACGCTTTGGGAAAAATCGAATTGCAATTCAAAGAACTCTTTTTTTGACCATCTAATTTATAGAGTGGACCTTTCTGAGCGCAAACGGTCGACAGCTTTTATGTCTTCACGTCGGCCTTAGGTATATCCAATTTAAGCCATTAGCCGGCCCTAGGCATGTTTCAGGTTTTGGACTCAATTTGCGGATGAAATTTAAGAGTAAATTACATGAAACGGGTTTTCCACAACATAAACAGCGACCCCCTTTTATTACCACTGGGCTGGACATACGAAGAAATGAATGCATTGCAACATGTTGCCTTGAATTTAGAGTTTTCAAGATTAGTCTTTGTTGTTAACTTAGCTTTCAAGAAGGCAATTAATGTTAACTCACGAAATCCATTTCCATATTGCTTTGTACCTTCGTATAAAAGTTTAAATATTGCAATTGACGGATTTTGGTGTTAGTTTTGACTCCACAGGAATAGTTTAAAACCATCTAGTATAGTGCTGGAAAACTGGAACACTTTAAATGAAAATAATGTCTAAAAATGAAGTTGTACGATTTTTGACATGACAACAAGAATAAATACAGTAGGAAAGGGTAAAAAAGGCGTTAATATGTTTTTTCTGAACCTTGAAAAATCAACAAGCGAAAAACAAAACAGTAGAAAATAGAAAACACAACAATCCAAAAACTGGCGAATCTACAAGAAAAATATGAAACAAATTCAAATTCGAAAATAATACAGACTGTCCTATAGAATTACTAAACTTCTATGCTAAACCAATTATGTTAAATTGATTGATTGATTCGAAGAAAAACAACTCACAGATTCGTGAAGTAAGCAAAATTTTCAGATGTAGCAAAATCTATCTAAAACTCTACGCCTAGCGAGATGTGAAACAGGTTTTAAAATATGTGTCCGCCTACAAACCAATAAAGCAACTTAGTTTCAGCTATACTATTTGATTAACAGAAAAACACATAACAGCAATGACAATACAAAAGAAATATGAGCAAGATTACAGAGAGTCAGAGTAGAGATTGAGAGTTAAAATCGAGACATGGGTGAATGTGAAGGCAAAAAAAGTGAGTACGTTAACATGTGAAACTTATGAAAAAGTCGCAATTAAACTGCCGAATGGACCAGAGAGATTAAGCAAGGATATTAACTATTACAAACAGAAATTACGAAAACACCACGTGCGAAGAGAACAACAGAGGATTGAATTATTAGTCTTACAACTGGATAAAACAAGGCAATTTAAGAAAAACGAGAACAATAGATGAGTAAGTAGGAAGTTTAATACAAACATCAACTAGTTTTGAGTCCAGCAAGTATATTTATGAGCAAGCAACAAGTTGCATTTTGCGCGATTTTAGAGAAACTTGGGATCGTGCTGCCAGCAAATACCTGACTGGCGTTTATTTTACTGTATTAAATTATCGGATGCAACCCAATTTTAAAGTGCTGCTCTTATTCGTAGTCACAAGATGCAAAGCCACAAAAGTAAAAATTGATGCGATGTAACTCATCATATTTAGGCACTTTACTTAAAAGACAATTTACTCTTAAATGATTAAACGGCAAAAAATTGGAGAGTGGTAACACGCTAATTAAGACAAGTTAAAATCTATTAAAGAGATGTCCTTAAGACATTCAACTTTGAGAACAGCAGTACAAATGTTCCTTTAATCTCTTACTTGGGCCCTAAAGAGGCTTGTGTAAATGTTATAGTTTAATGTCCGCATCAAAGTTATCTTGCTTTGGCGTTCTGAGGTTACTTACTGTTGAAATGGATGAAACATAGTTTAATATGCATTTAAGAAAATTCAAATTTGAAGCTATAATTTAGGAAAATGCAACAAGCTCGGGGCAAATGTTACGTCAATTCCGCCCTTTCAACGATAACACTTGAACTAAGATTTATTGCCGAAAATATTCACTTCAATTACATTGGCTGTTCTTGGGCCCATCCTGATTACAAAATCGATTTAAATAATAATAGTTCATGAAACCAATAACCCCTTTGTAACGAATAGATGTTTTAGATTAGACTTAAATACTTCAATTCTCGTAAAAATGTTCATATTACTATCTGGAATAAAGTAAGTTACATGAGGCGCGAACTCTGGTTAAAGCTGGAATGGAAGTTTTCAGTCGAGTGAATCGAAGCACGAAACTTAGGTCCACGTGGCAAATAGTCCCAATGGACGATTAGGATTATGATGGATGGAACTTTGCAGCAAATGACCCATGGATTGAAATTTTAATAGATTCTTGATGTAAGTGGATGGTTGTTATTATTTTTCCGTTTGAAGACAAATAACGAATTGGTTTGCCCGAAATGAGTTTTCATTTATGTTTTGGTGTTATTGTATTGACAAATTTCTGCGAAGAGGCTCAGTAGACAAGAATCGTTTTTTATCAGATTGTTTTAATTTTACATGCATTTTTGTAATTTCTGCAATCCATCTATTCGGTAGTTTTGAAAAATTAAGTTATTAAATTAGTTTTCTGCATAACGAGGAGTTAAGCTGTATAGATTCAGTACCAATGCAATCTGAGTTTCGTGTCCGCATTTGAGTCCACATGAAATTTTAAGTAACTACTGGTTAACAAACGAGCAATGGCTTCCATTTTACAAACTCATGTTTTGTCCATTAAATTATAGAACTTATTATCAGGAATAACATACATAAGCACGATCCGGACCTATAAGCTGATACTGATGATAGATGCATTTAGAAGACTATTCACGAAAATAACATAAGAAGGTAGATTTCAACAGATATAAAACGTTTAGTTAGGGGTAGATACATGATCAACAATCAGGTCAAACGCTTTTCATAATTATACTTGGAGCTTGGAGGATGTTTTTTTAATATTAAATAATTGAGCTTGCAAGGTACAAAGTACGGAAACGGTATTTCGGCGCAGTTACGACTATTTTGCTAGGCTTGTAATAACAACCATCTCGAAAAAAGTTTTTAGAACAAATGCTTCTATAGAATCTCGCATTAGTTGCACGGGCCCTGATTGTGTTATTCCTACTATAACTAGTACGATTAATTAAAAACATGTTTCAAAAAATTTAAATATACACCATTTCAAGGAAGCATGATACCTATTAGAAAATCCACGGATAATGTAAAATATTAACACATTTAGAAAGATGTACTTACTTACACTATACTTACTTAAATTATTTAGTCTTTCATTCAGAAATTTGCAATGTCAACATATAAAAAGTTCTATAAACTAGACAAAATTAACATTTCTTCAGAGGAAATTTAAACCATCTTATAAGTGAGATAGATAGATAGTGTATCTATTAAACTTGGTTTAATTCTATCTTGAGACTTTATATCATACGGTCTAACGTATATTAAAAAAACTGAATTTGAATTTTACAAACATACAGGCCGGCGGCATCGACAGAAATGTGCGAATTTTGTGCGCATTTCGTCCATTCTACAATAGGTTTTCTTATGAAATATGACTGCAGAATTGCGAGTTTCCAAAACGTAGACCATAAATTCTCGAAAAGGAGCAGATCAATTATAATTTCTATTCATCCTAATGTGATTTCCATCTGGTAAATTGCAAAGGGTTCACCTAACAATCAGATAAAGGTGCTCCAGAAATGGAAAAAACTCCAGTTGCCAAATAGCTAAAAGCAATTTGAAATTTCAGATTCACTGACGCCGCCTCGTTCATTATCGCATTTCGACTTTAACTATAAAGTGAACATTCGAAAGAGGCTGCCAAATTCTTCTTATAGGGAACAGAACAATATCTGATATTGCAGAACAATATCTGTAACGAGTGTTACTTACATGATTACAGAAATTCACACATTTGTCTTAATATTTGCATATAGAATGATAACTCTTGAAAATCTCGAAGATAATTCGTATGGTCTGGTTTTCAAGAATCAAATTTTTGAAGAACAATTTTTGTTGGCTTTTGCTTTTAAATGGCTGACTAAATTCATAATTTGTCCATCTATGATATTCATTTAGGATTAATGAATAAACTTGCTATCAGCTTGCAATGCGTCCAACTAAACCCAATCACAAATACTGAAAGGCATAAATACGTTTGCTTTTCATAGACAAGTAAAAGCGAATTCCAATCGAACCGAAATTAATATGGCTTTTCGTTGCAATCGGCGGAAATGTTTTTGAAGGCAACTCCACTTTACATTAAACTTGCTGGTTTTGTCGGTTTTATTTTGTAGTGCCATTAATTCCCATAAAAGACTGCTGAGTAGGCCGGGTATTAAATTAGATGAATGCCGACACACTTTCGCATAAATCCATTCAAATAAAATTCCTAATTACTCGAATACCTCGTATGGAGTAAGTTTTTAATATAACACGATTTTTATGCATTTCTGGTATGACGGGGTTTTGGAAAACACTAGGAAAAAAATGGGAATGAATGGGGCGATTAAATAATAAACAGTTCTTCATTTCTTCTAATGTCGGCGTTTCATTCAAAAATGCACTGAAACCATGACATTGTACATAATTGTACATACTTTCCTGACTGTGTTTCAATTCCAAATCAAAATCAATTCCTGGGCTTCAGTCATTTATTGTCTATTTATCAACTAAAATACGTGTCGGTGTTTTCCACCATCATCAGTGTCTCTAAAATAACAGATAGTAAAAAAAAATTTTCATTAATTTAAAAAATAATCACAGCTCGTCAACAGCTTCATCATATCACACACTAAAATACATGTATTTCAGTGAGTTAGTGAGTACTTTCTGTTATTTTAGAGAAACTGATGATGGTGGAAAACCCCGAAACTACGTACTAACGTATTTTAATTGATAAATACACAATGAATGACTGAAGCCCAGGAATTGATTTTGATTTGGAATTGTAGATAATGCAAAATAATCTCAGGATAATAAATTGTTTAAAACCGTATTAAATGCATTTTTGAAAGTTTTCTTTTTTAAACTGATAAATGACAACATCGAGTCAATTATAGCGTTCCAACTGTGTCAGTCCAGAATTTACTAATTAAAATATATAAAATTGCACAATTTTCATCGATTTTTCTAAACTAATATTTAGATTAAATGTTTCTTAACTTGCATGCTTTGCCAAACATTATTTATCAAACAAACTGAAAATTCTAAAAAGGTACGATACCTTGTATAAAAACCAAATACAAGGAGTACCAAATTTTTAAAGCAATTTGTTTAATTTAAATACGAAAAAAATAAGATTCTGAACACGTTTCACACGACATACCCTATTATTAAACTCAACAGATCTTTAGCAATTTACGGAAAAAATACCCTTCATTGTATAACGTATAAATTTATTAACAATTAGTAAAAAAAGATAATGTAAAACTAACTCTAATGAATGAAATAGTGGATTCAAAGAAAGCGAAAAATTTGTGATAGACACAGCAATCCTTAATTCGGGGTGTTTTTTGTTATGCCAAACTCCTTTATGAAATTTTAGATTAAACCGTTAAAGCATCAGTTTTCATTTCGATTTCGAAACCGTTTGATTTAATAAAAATACAAATTAAATAATAGGCGTTTTTTAAAAACCTGTTTATTTAATGGGTGTGGAGGAATAGTACTTTTCTTGATTCAATGCAAATTAAATAGCTTCTGCCTATTTTCACATTTTAAATAAGTATTCGAATTTAAAACCACGTTTTTCGGAAGAGCCTGTGTAATTTAGCCCAGTTTACCAGACACCATTTCACATAATTACCACTCCTACTTGTTGGTCTCAATTTCTGCTCAATTACTTGCAAAAAAAGTCTTTCCTCCCACACAATTTATGCGAGACACTTTCATTTCAATAGAGCCGAATACAAAACACTTGACATCAGTTGCGTTGGGTCTGTTGACACAACTTAACCCTGTTTGCTGTTTTTTTTTTCTTCGAGGCATTGGCGCAATTTAAATTAAATGTTTGAGCATTGTTTTAGAACAATAAAGTTAAATGAAATTCCAATATCAGTAGGACAACTGCCAGTTGCAGGAAGTATTCGATCGAGCTGAAAATGTATAGCCCTATCGTTTATGAAAGTGTTTAATCGCCTTTTCCTTGCAAGAAATCAGATGTTTAAGATAATATGAGCTAACTGTTTTGGAATAAGTAACCGAAGTTACCTGGGAAATTGTAGGTGCTATAGCCAACAATTAATTATCCAACAAAACATTAGTGCAAATTCTATTACGGTTTTCCGAAATACTGTTGGACGACATATTTCAGATTAACTTCCAAGTGAAGCTTCGAGCAGGAAAAAGCCAATATTGAATTTTTACCTCAAAGAACCGAGGAAACATGAACATTTATAGCTACTACCTTTTATGGCTAGGTTAAATATTAATGTTCAGAAAATGTGCACTTTATATATTTATTGGGCTTAAACTCAAGTAAAAAGGTAAATGTTGTTTTAATCGATACATGTTCCAACTTTGAGGCAGCAGTGAAGACGTAAATCGTCATAGAGGCTTTCTAGCTTGGAACGATGGGTTGTAAAGCGTCGGGCAAACAGTATTAACACGTTTCTAAGTTCTAATATCCAAGATTGTCAATTTGAAGGCAAACCTTTAACAGATTTCCATTTCCATTATCCATTTTCTGAAAACTTCATACTCTCCAAACAGTGAAATAAACCAGAACCAAAAATGAAATAAATTTATGGAAAATATAGTCTGCTTGTTTTAACATGTCTGGCTTTGAATTCCGAAATTACAATGAACGCAACGCAATTCTTGGGATTATAAGAAGTAAAATGTGCTTAAGGTTTTTTTAACGTTCTAGAGCTATTAAAGCTACTTCAATTACGTGCAGTAAGCATTAGCATAGGGCAATTAGAGTACTATTGGCTCTCGCGAATGCACCGCAAATTCTCACATGCTAATTGAATAGACGCTTAATACAATAATCATGCAAACGTGCAAGTTAAATCGTTACACTTAGTACAATTAGCATGTGCTAACGTTGCCTAAAAAAGACCAATTGTTAGTAAAAATTAATAATCACATTTCGATGCTGCACATTGATCGGAGGTACCTTGGCAGACGATGAAGAGTATGGTTCATCGAAGAGGGCCCATATTTTCGGTTTGATTTTCTGCCATCTGGTCAGTGTTCCTTTATAATAAGCTTCCTCGTAACTGAACATTCTAGCCACTTCTTCCTCGCTCGGTTTTTCAGAATCTATGTCTAGTTTGTCCAGGATAGCTAATGTAGCCTGAAATATTACTTTCAGTTACTCTAAAGGAATAATAATTTTGTGAATGCCAGCATTAAAACATGCTTAATCTGATTTTCTTAATTTTTTTGCTAACGTTTTGCGTTTTGTTTCAAACTTTTTTTAAACAACTGAGCGAGCGTAGTCGAGTTAGTTAATTAATACTGAGTGGGTGAACAGTAAGAAGCGCAAAATTTGAAGATAACTTAGGAATATTGGGGCTGTAGTTGAAATTATAAGTGAAAAATGTGGGCAAGTATTATAGATTGAATAATTATTTGTATTATAGCAAAATCAGTTCGAATAAAACTAAATCATGATTACACTTTTAACATTTTCATAAGCTAAATTTTCGAATATATTATGGAAATCCCCGCACGTTTTCTTTAAAATTAATTTGGGTTAGGATCAATAAGTTGAAACAGTTATAATTGCTATTGGACTCCCATTAACTCCATTAAGTTGGTTAAGTGGACGGTATATTTTGATGCCGAAAAAAATATTTTCACATACAGCTTGAATCTTAGCTGTCGCCTGACAATGGAATACCAAAAATGCATTTTTTATACATTATATTAATGTGTTCTATCTGATTTCATAAAATAACCCACATGTTTTAGAAGAACCTGCTAGCATCCAGCAAACATTTATTTTGTGAAAGCAAATAATATAAAACTAAACATCATGAAATGTTCAAGTTATTATTTTAGTCTTATAACTTTACGCCTCTGGAAACTGTGCAAAGCTATATATAGACTTTGTTATACAATGGAGAATATAAATTATCGGTAACGGTCGAATATGTCATTAACATAAGCCAATATTCACAGCGTAAATGAATTTTCCTTCAATGACATGTAAATTAACCAATAGCGTAGGTGGTGAATTTGTAATATGCGTTAAATAATATTTCAAGTTGAGCGACGGTGATGTTGAACAGAATTTCCAATATGAAATTCCATGAATTAAATGTTGCCGTTTTGCATAAGAAATCAGGCGAGAATATCACTCGCATCAGAACTTTCTTTCAAGCCTAATAACAAATGAACTTTTCAAAATATTATTGGGGTTAAAAATTGCAATCGTGTCAAGTTTGCTGGAATGCTTTAATGCATTTATAGAAAATAATATAATTTAATCATAATTGATTTAATTAAACACGCTTCGTATAAATTGAGCACTATTAAACTTGCAATGGTAGTCTGCGAATAACATAATTAATTGCTTAATTGTCCTTCCATTAAGCTATCGATAAATTGCAGCCAACTTCCAATGTGATTAAACTACACAGGCTTCAATTTTGACCTAAAAATAATGGCTCACTTATTGCCCCATCCATTATGACGTAAAGAGCAAGCGAAAATATTCCTACCTAATTTATGTTACGACACAGTGCACCTGTACCGTATTAATATGTTGACAAATTGAGCCATATTTATTTAGGAAAATGCATTAAATTGAATAGATAGAAGATAAAACTGAATCAGTGGAAACTCACCTGGGTATCTCGGTGAATACTATAAGTGCTCCAACAACATGGTTCTACTTGATTCGAGTCTAAGCCCCAAAATTCAAGTTCTTCCTCAAAAAGTGGTCCACATACATTGGTGGGATAATGTAGTTTACCCGTTCTGAAAAACAGAATCGACATCTTTTTAACACAGGCCATACTACAATAGAGAATAACCAGTAACCGTTTAAAATAATATGTACAAACTAAACTAGTTAAATAAAAAATATCCTTACTAAGATTTTTACTGCAAATTTAAATACCCTAACTTCTGGATATGTTTAGCAGCAGGATGGATTTAGGTCACAAAAAATGAAGCCCACTTTAGTATCCAAAGTGAGGCTCAAGTTAAAAAGCTTATCCGAATTGAAACCGATCTAAAATCACGAATTCAGCCATTCACCGTCGTGATTGGATCGATTCATTCGTTAAAATAAATGATCGCGTTACCGAGTACAAAATATAATTCTCACAATAGGTATAACTTAAGAGTGTCCTGCATAATGCAAATAATTGTTCTTCTAAGAGACCCCGAGAAGTCGATTAATTTGGTTACACTCATAAGAAACTCACTATTTGAATTTTAAACAAAAATTAAAAATAAAAGGTGAATTCAAATGCAATTTGTTGACATTGATTAAAAATTGGCCTATTCGGAGACTTCCGTCGGAAAATCGTCGTAGTTTGCTCCAAATACAATTTTCAATGTATGCGGCAAATCCAGTTAGACGAACCGGATGCCTCGAGGCACTTTCACAATTTAACGCAATTCCCAAATTTTAAAATGTTTCTTCCTAAATTACGTTCTACTTATTGCTTTGCTTTTCTATTTTACACAATGTTCAGCTTGATTCTTAAGCTGAGTATTTTAGTGTATAATTCCAACCTAAGACAACATTATGCTATCGAAAAAAAGTTCTATTTGTTCTGTTCCGAACCAAACAAATAGAGCATGATAAGCAAACTTTACTATAAGAAAACAAATCCAATTAGATATCGCCGGTAGAAAAACCGCTTGCCTTCACTTGGATGATTAGATTTGCCATGCCTCTACTTTTCCTTAATTACTTGAAGCTGCAATGTACTCTTTTTAAAACGGGAATTTCATTTCAAATGAGCTATGCCAAACGCAATTTTTCTGCTATGTAACTTAATTAACAGTGCTAAAGCTTAAATAGCACAGGCCTGAGCCTTTTCAATTAGGGACACCGTTCAAAATACGGAAATATAAAAGCGAACAAATACGGAGACATGTATTGTGAAATGTGCACGGCAAAAGCGAGCTAATAGGGATCTAGTTGGAAACAGAAAAGTTGCAGATTAACGGACAAATTGTGAGCAAGCTTAAAAATTCCTTTACTGAAATATGTAATTAGTTCGTCGAATTAAAAACTGTTATTTCACATGATGATGATGGGCCGGTTTTTTGCAATGAATTTTTAAGTTAACCAGAAGTGAGCGTTTTCCGTATAGAGATTCAAATCCAGAATGTGAGTATTTAGCGGCAGTAGCCAATATTTCCGGATTAAATCTGATAGAAATGTAAAAGATGATTTGGAATAAAACTGTTCTCTACTTAGTTTTTACGCTAAACTTTTGAAAATAAAATTTATGTTTAAGAGTCACTTTGATAAAGAAAGTAATGGTTTAAGTTAGTCTTATAAAAAATACGATTTAAGTTTTACTGCAGACAATACTTTTAGTTTAAACCAACATTTTGCGAGCAATGTTAAGAACTTTTATTAAAAAGTCTTTACAGAATTTACAGAATTATTCAATTATTTGCACCAAAAAGTTGCGATCCCGTAGAAATGCTGAAAGCCACAGAGAAAGCCTTTGCATATAGACTACAGAGATATTTACCAAAAGTTGTCTTCTATGTTAAACATGTGATCCAGAATTTTTTTATAGGTTTAATAACTTTTGTCGTCTCTTACTTTCAGCCATTTGATGTTATTGTATTTCTCATTGGCTTTTTAAACAAACTTCTACTTCTCTTAAAATTCATCAAATTATTTTCAAATACTCTATTATTTTACCTAAAACAGACGAATATTGCCCATCCAAATATTTTAAAATTGCCCTTTACAGCAACAATTATCAAGTAGAGATAATAATGATCACGTGCATTACACATTTAAGATAGGTTGCAGTTGATATTATTATGAGCTTTATATTAATCAAAAACCGGGACCAAATCTAAATAACTGTTCCGTTCCGGTTTCGGTCCAAGCGAAATTTTAAGTTTAGGTTCCGGTACGGTTTCGGTTTAGAAAATATTGTCCAATTCGGTTCAGTTCCGGTTTCGGTATTTGCCGGTTAATTTCGGTTGCAAAATTTCTATAGTGGCAACGATCGAAAACAAAGATAGAGATTACTCTATATAGAGAGAGATAGAGATATAATTTTTCACACTTTTTCATTGCTTGTTGTATTCTATAAAATCAAAGATGCGGAAACGATCCACTGTATATTTAATTATAACAAGTAACTAGTAAGTTAGTATAGTAAGGAGTGAAATTAAGGTAATATTAAACGGAACCACATGGACAGAAGTAAAAAAAGCGCACAAAAAAAATTAATCTTGGTATTTGTGAAAAGTTTTTGAAGAGTTTTGTGACTAGTGCTTTTTATTCATTCCTTTTTCACTCATCAGGTCCACTATTTCGTTAATTTCTATTCTTTCAGTTTTATTTCCGTTTAAAGATTTTTCACTCTGGTTTGTGCTTTTATACTCTTCACAATATTTTGAGGACTTATAGGAAATTCCCAATAAAACATTGGGAATTTCACAAGTTTGTTGTTGGTGATCGAAAAACTAAAATAACTCAACTTAAAGAATGAAGACGAATTTTAAAGAAATAAATTTAAAAGCAGTGTATAAACGTAGGGTGTTTGTTCTTTGCATGTACGAGTATAACTCGGGGCTATAAGCCTTTTCTTGTTTTTTGTTCCTCTTTATAAGAACTTAAAATAATTTTAATTTAGTTAAGGGCTATAAATGAACCATCTGACGAAAATTCGTGCTGATTAATTTATTTTAAAACTTTTTGCTGTGAATTTGTATGCTTTAAAAATGCTTCCATTTAATCGCTTAATGAAGAACCAGATGATTTCGTTTCCATGTCGTGTTGACCAGGGTCAGACTCAGAATTGGAAGAATTGGACTTTTTCAAGACCCTCAGTCTAGTCCATAACGACTTGAAATGTGCTTTTACTCTTCTACTTGATTGTTGCCTAAAACTTCCTTATACCGAGGGTCCAAAAATATCCCAGCACAGTATCACTTCATTATTTAACAGCATAACTTCTCTTTCCTCCATTCCAAGAAGCCGTGTTCTTTAATGACAACAAAAAACTTATTATTGACGACTAGCGTTAGAAAGATAATTAAAAATTCACATAAAAAATAAATAAAAAGTCAAAAATACAAGAAATTGACAGGAAACAATTTAAATTATTGTATTTACTTATCGAATTATATATTTTGACATTTCCCTAACCATCCTTGAATCTGAAATTGGCTTCCATTTTTTGTTATCGAGGGACAAATTTCCTTCAAACATTACAGTATTTCGGTTCCGGTTCAGCCCTTAACAGTACGTCAATATAAAATATGGAATCATTTTCGGTTTCGGTCCAGAAAAAATAACCGATTCCATTTCGGTTTTGGGGCCATATCGGTTCCGGTCCGGGTATTAATATTGTACCATGGATGGCCGGGTATCAAACTCTTTCTTCTGCTTCCAACTTTTATTCCACTCGGTACAACTTTAACTACGGAACAGGAACAACCTAACTTCTAAATTACCGTCAACTTCACAAACAATAACAGTAACAGGCGGAAAACTCGCTCTTCCGACTCCCGGAGTTTAACCTCTTCTGCACTCGGACGCTGCTGTCACTTCACTCCTCTGGTTCTCGTCGTTCGCTTATATAGTTTTCTCCAGGTATCCCAGATAGTTCTCGAAATCTCCAGAACAGGTGCGAAACTTCCCGCTTGTCAGTGTCATATTTGACAGTTAATGGGGCCCAAATGGGGCTCCCATTTACTGAAATACCATGAATTTCGATCCCCCATTCCACACGTGAGTACCCCAGACCATTTCCGTTACAATATTAAACAACGGGAAACTTACATATTTTCTAAATGTTTGGACAATTCTTACTGCATTTGCGTAAATAAATATAAATCGGAATATCAGAGTTAAAATGTATAGTGCTATTTATTTTCGGTTAGAAACTTTGAGCTGCTAAGAATTGAAACAACGACCGCAAAATTATATGAATGGTAGGCTTTACCTCATGCTGATTATGTTTTATTATATCAAAATATTAATGACTATGGGATAAAGAATTTTAAGAAAATTACTAGATATGAAAAGTCGATAAAATAATCTAGATAATAACATTTTTAAATTAAATATGTCATTTAAATTTCGTTAAACACTTGGTATTCTGAAAAGTAAGTCGTTGTAGAAAGTGGTTTTTTTATTTTTTTGTGCCAAAGTCTGAGATATAGAACTGAAATACTTTGCAAATGTAAATGATGAAATTTCGATTAAATGATGTGTGCGGAGGCAGCAGCGTCGAACAACAGCATAGTCAAAAGCAAAAAATATAATTGATTTTTACTAATTAATTGAAGTGCATGCGAAATAATGGCAGCTCAAGTCCAGAAAATGGGACTGAGCACAACAACTATTCTTGGGCATTTCAACTTCAAGAACATTAATCTCCCGCTATATGTCACTAACAATCACAGCGGTTGTCAGCATGCAATGACCCATTTACTTGTTTATACGAATGTACATTCTTCTTTCTCTGAAGTTTCGTCCGATTTTTGTTTTGCTTTGGTCCAAAATAAGCAGCGATTTATATTTAATACAGATATACCTACTCGATCTATTAGTGGTTAGTATATGCAGCGATTCAATATTTCTTAAAATGGATTTCATAGTGTGTAATAAAAATCACCTTATGTACGCTAATATAGCCATTAAGTTAGTAAAATTAAATACATTTAATTTCCCCAAGTGCCAGCGACCTCGATGCAGTATATCTTCTGTAACCCAATAACGATTCCTGCAGAATTATCCCATGCGCAAAAATTAATATTCA